TTAGCGAGCTTATACTCAACCTCTCCCACTCTTCTAGTCCAGGAAGTGATGGTATTATGCCCAAACCACTAAAGCACACTCTGCCATCCTCCAGTGTTCGACTGCAACTGTTATTCCAACAACGCCTAGACCAGGGATCACCACCTGGAGACTGGACACATGCAAAGGTTATTCCTGTTTTTAAGGCAGCTGGAGACATCATGTCCCCTAATAATTATAGCCAGATTTCCCTAACCAGCAGACCCTGTAAGCTTATTGAACAGGTTATCTATAGTCACGTCGTTAGCATGGTTTTCGCAAAGGAAGATCCTGCAAAACTCAGCTTTTTTTTTTTTTTTTTTAATTTCTTACCAACGTGCACGAGAACAACCATTCTTGGAAACAAACTGATGCTATTTTTGTTTATTTTTTTGTTAAGGCATTTGACCAAGTCCCTTGCCAGCCATCACGAAAAAGTAAGCAATTACAAATATCTAGAAGTAACACTAACAGAAAATCTAGGTTGGAATTTGCATATTGATTACATCGTTGGAAAAGCAAATTGTACACTGGGTTGTTTTAGAAGAAACTTATATTCAGCACCCTCTGATGTTCGCTTGTTAGCTTACAGGTCCTTCATTCGTTCGACGGTAGAATACGCTGGCCTAATTTGGAGTCCCTGGCAAGATTGCTTAAATTAGTCCTTTACGTCTAGTGTGACAGCTTCAAAGTCTGAGGCTGGCCCCACATTTCTATGCCCCTTATGGCACACCAAGCAGCAATCCCAGTCTCCTTTAAATCTGCCTATTACTGCCCGAGAGTGTGGTAAACATCTCTGATTGTGGCCAATTTAAGAGTGCTCGCAAAGAATTATTCCATGTATTTTAAGCCCTATGTACAACATTAGAATGTAAATATTGCTTTTTTCATTCCTTTGTCACGTATGACTTTGTCAAACCTTCTTGAATTTTATGTGATCTGTATTAAAAGTAGTTAATATTCCTCTGTTCCCACCCCCCCTACCCCTCATGTAATGCCTTGATGAAAACGAACTATCACAAAAATTTCTTCTCAGCTTTCTTTTTTTCCTTTTTTGTTACAGGCGTCAGGCATTGTCTCTTTTGTCTATGCGTCCTTCCAAAACTGCCTGTAAAATAAAGAATGAATTGATTTGAAGCTTCGAAAGTCTCACTTTTGGTATTCCATCATCGTCCCAAAAGCTTTTACGATGATTCTTGGATTTTCACTCTAGAATCATGTCCAAAGCATTTCAACTTTGGAAATTCTCTGTTTTATCTGGTTCTAGCAAAGCCGACTGCACTGGTATGCTGAATTTCCTGTACCTCCAGCTGTCGAGAATCACAACAGATGACGCATGCACCAAAGGTCATGCACCACCGTGGTCACATGTTGTTTTTCATATGGTGATGACTCAAGCAACAAAAATAAATCCCTAATTTTGAGATCAGAAAGAGACGCAGCCCTGATAATATACCAAACCTTCTTCTCTTTAGGTATGCCGAATGGTCAGCTAAGTTCCTGCACTTGATTTACTGCAATAGCCTCAGCACAGGCGCAGTACCCGACGAATGGAGAATTGCCAGAGCATTATCTATATTTAAGTCAGGCAACAGTCACTGTATCATTAACTACAGACCTATTTCTCTTTCATCTACATCTAGTGAAGTATTTGAACACCTAATACTTAAGCATATGACTGTATTCTTGAAGACTTGTAAATTGTTTTCAGGGTGAGCACCACCATGGGTTCAGATGCCGGATGTCCACAGTAACTCAATTAGTTCACACAATACACAAATTTTCGGCTACCATTGATGCAGGCAGTCAAACTGGCGTAATATTTATAGATTTTGCAAAAGCTTTTGATTGCATTTACCATCAAATATTGTTACACAAATTGCGTTGCATTATCACTAACGAGAACATATTATGTTGGCTCGATTCTTACCTAACAAAAAGGCGGCAGTATGTAAGTGTTTCTGGTGTTTTTTCGCCTGAATCATCTGTTTTATTAGTTGTGCCCCAAGGATCAGTTCTAGGGCCACTCTTGTTTTTAATATTTATTAATGACTTGAAAATAGATGATCCGTCTATTCAATGCCGCTTTTTGCCGACGACTGTGTTTTATTTTTTAGTGTGAGGAGTCTGTCAGACCAGGAATCCCTTAATCGCTGTCTCTCTTCAATTAATTCATGGTGTACAAAGTGGAACATGGTTTTTGAACTCCAAAAGTTGTGTTCAAATGAGTGTAACGCGTAAAAGTACACCTTTGTCTTTCTTGTATTGTATCAACACCGAACCACTCGTTTTCGGTATCTCGGTGTCTTAATCCCTTCAGATCTAAACTGGAACATCCGTGTAAACTATATAGCCAAAAAAGATATCCAGAAACTGTGGTTCTTGAAATGCATCCTTTGTCACTTCACTTCTGAAACTAAGTTGACTGCCTATAAAACTATATTGTCAGATTCATCTTAGAGTATGGAAGTGTTGCCTGGGACACCCCCCACTAAGTCTTTAGGCGACAAGCTTGAGGCAGTTCAAAAGAAAGCACTGCATTTTGTTTATAATTGGTAGTTTCATGTCGTCAATTTGCAACTTGTATGTTTTGTCTGGATTGCGCGATTTAGCAACACAACAAAAACTAGACTGCCTTAAATTTCTTTTTAATGTGCTCCAAAGCAATTTGCATTTGTATTTTAGCCATTTCATGGCAATTAATGAAAATAGGCCCACACGAAACCAACGCCATCTAACTCTCACTGAACCGTTCTGTAGAACCACTTTGTTCAAAGCCTCCTTCTTTCCCAATACTGTGAATGAATCGAGCAAGCTTCCCAATGGCAGTGTTAGTTTGGTGTCACTTGCTACTTTTAAAGGTGCTCTATATAAGCACTTTGTTGTGTAGCTAATTTACTGTCCTGTCATTTATCCATGGTTACCTTGGTATGGTGCACGGTTACACTTGTATGATTACCTGCTTTGGCGTTCAAAGTGAATGCTGCAGTATAGACAAATAATACATCAATAAATAAATACCATGGGAACACTGCCTACAACACCCGTTGCAAACTATTGTTTCAACTTAAACAATGGACAGCTGGGGAAGGATCCATTTCAGCCATTCTAGCCCTATGAAACTAACACATGACGTCCTAGATGTTGGTCTAGGAGGTCTTATGGCACTCACAGGGCATTGAATTGGTACCGATGGCTCATGAGTCCGGTGTGGTGGCCCATCATAAAATGAAACGGAAACCACAAACCCTATTTCTGAAAAGCTGCAGTAGGTTCATTGCATGCACCCCCCCCCCCCCCCCCGAAAAAAAAGAAAAAAAAGAGGAAGATTTGGATTACATGGAGTGACAGGTGCATAAGTTGAGCTTGAAACCTTTTACCTTCCACGAGTATGAAAAAATTGGGGACTATTTTGGTAATCACCTTTACATCTTCGATGTGAACAACAACGCTCTTTACACTGAAGCATGGTCGGTGTTTCAGCGATGACAATAATGATTACATCATACAGACGGACACCGTTACCTTCATCAAATAAGGCAAGCTTCGGACGCCTTATCACAACTCAAATATTCAAAAGTAAAACAAAAAAATGGCTAAATTTGATTAGCATGTATTTCTCTGCGCAAAGGGAGATGGACCAGATGAAGAAAGAAACAAATATGTCATACCAACTAGCCCAAGCTTCAACCTGAGCTTGTTTCTCTCGTCTAAAGAGTGTAAGCTTCTGCCCCACGATGTCATATCGTTTCTAAGTTCTAGTAGGCATTGGCTGACCACGACCGGCTCGGTGTTGACGCCAGGCTCGCAATCTTTTCGCACCTAGCAGAAGTACGAAATCGCCCGTCGTCGTTTCGAGCAGACGATAAGCACGAGCGACACACGAGTCTGGCAGACGGGCGATTCACGTGACTCGGGTCTCCGTTGCCTGGCCCGATAACGGCAGCAGATAAATTGAGTACACGTGCTACTCGATGCAAAGCCGTGGGAAGATGGCTTTCAACAAACGAGGGAGAAAAGGAAAGGTCGGCCAAGCAAGCTGAAACACGTTTCGGGTCGCCCGAAGAGCAGGAGCATGCAGGAGGAAACAAAAACGCGGAAATGGTCTTGAAGCGGGCGAGAGGCGAAAAAAAAATATAGTGGTAGTTCGAAGCGCGGTCTAGATCGCCGTCGCTGCGGTCCCGTGTTCTAGTTTCTGCCGAGTGTGGCCGTCTACAGAACACAAATAAAAACTTACAACAGGAAATGGAAGCGCTGCGAGGGTAGAAGCTGGGTAGAAGTGGCCCCCGCACTACCACCCATAGAGGTACTACTACTTACAGCCGATACAGGACAAAATTCGCACTCTGTGGTGGTAACGAGATGAGATAAAACTTTCGTACCCAAAAATCCTTTCCCACCCACGCAAAGACCGTAAAAATTTTAGTCTTTTGGAGGCAATAAAAAGAAAAACAAAACTTTTTTTTTTTCGTGGAAACTTTCTAGTCGTAGTAGTGTGTAAAGGGAGAATAAAATCTGAAACAGTGTGAAATGTCGAACGGCTTTATGTGTAGCGTGTAGACACATCGTAATCGCTAGCCCAAGAAAAGGAAAAAAAACGTTTGGAACGGTGAAACGTAAACGTCCGGTCAGTGTCGGGTGCACCCGAAACATCGTGGCCTGCGCTAACAAGCCAAATAAAAAATGATTAAAATAACAAACAAACAAAGGTTTTGGAGTTTTTCGTTTCACGAGTTCGGGGAAATGTTCGGAAAACGGGCTAGCCTGAACGTTCTCCGAACCACCGAATGATTCATAGAGCTATGATCCCAGAATGGAACAACAAGCCAAGAACAACAGCAACAAGCACGCGATACGAATAAAGCAAAATCATGCCCGAATCAACAAAAATTACAAAACCGATCTTGTTTTTTGGGCCAATCACCCCGTCATAGTCCGGCGGCACCCAATCACGCGACTAGAAGACTGAAAGATGGGCTCACCTCTCGAAGCATCGATCCACATTGTCACTCATGAGTAGCAGCATGCAGAGCTGTTCGAGCGCGATGAGCTGCATGTCCCTCTCGTCTCCTTGGCCCATGTTGAGCCATTCCAGCAACGTTTCGGGGTCTGCGTCCGCCATTTTCGACCGCCGGACCGCACGAAAACGGCGAGATACCCGGACCAGTTGTCGTCAAGTCGAGCAGAGGGAATAAAAAAAAAAATGCCGAAGACCAAAAAGGTCTTTTTTAGTCCCTACAGGTGGGATCGGGACCGACCCTCCCTCAAAAAACCAGATCACATATCCGTCGTGCCACGTCGCATTGCGCCGTCGAAGCCGAGACGCGCGAAGTCGTCGTCGAAGACGGCGGCGGCACCAACACCGACACAAGCACGGGGGCACTCGGCTAGGACTCGCTCCAACATTCACGAGCTCGTCTCAACTTGGGCAGACAACGGAATTCCACGCAGTCAAACAGACGATCGGCGCCGACGAAGGGACGGTTGCGACCCTTTTCTAGTTATTCGTTTGTTTGTTTTTCCCCTCAGCGAAGACACAACAGAAGGTACGGGAGCTTTGGAAGAAACACACACAGGCACAAGCACACAACCCCAGTCAACCCCGCACGTTGCTAAGCCTAAACGCAGGGGGAAACTGACGCAGAGGCGCCCGATGTCGTGCGCAAAGCCAGCAGAAGGCACTGGTGCGGCCTGTGATCACGTGCTTCCGGTTCGAGTGCGGAACAGCTGATTTGCAGACGGTAATCGGATGGTTCTTGTTTTATCGCGGCTGACTGGTTTTTCTTTTCATTTCTTGCGGTGCCGAGTGTTGCTCGGGTCGTGGTCGTCGTTCCTCTGCGCTCGCTGAACGGTGTCAGTGATCTGAGTGTACGGATAACGCGCTCACATCACCCGCCTCGCTCGCCTCTGATCTTTTTTCGCTGGAACTGGCTGGAACTTTCTCGTGAGACATGACGAAATTCCAACGAGGTAGAGGGGCTTAGAGCGATAAACCGGAGTTCCGGTCTGCACTCGAAAATGATTCCCATAAGGCGGCTGCCATTGTACGCAAATTTGACCACACGTCACATGACCAAACCAAATACGTGACGTCACAGGAAAGATGGCAGCGCCCATGCAGCGGCTGGCCCCAGCTGGGCCGGAGCTTGTCGGATGCTTTGTTGGTTGTCGTTCGTCTCGGTGAGCTGATTTCAGACACGAAAGCCGTCATATGAGGCCGATCGAAAGCGACTTCAGAGTTCAGCGTGGTGCCTGACGTAGGTATAACGTGAAAATACGGAGGAACGGTGTGCATTTCGCTAGTGACCGACGGGGATATTGCCACGAAGGAGACAATCGGCCTTACGTTGCTCGGACCTCGGATTGATTCGGACACCGCTAGGATAAATTTTAAGGCGACGTTTCTGTGCTCTCGTTGACCATCGGACCCCTCGAGATCTGCAGTAAAGCGTGTGCAATATATTTAGATACACAGTTTAGCGACGGAAATTGCGTGAGTCGTGCTTGGCAGTGTGCAATCGTGGTGCCGCTTCGTTCAAATGACCGAAGGCTCACTTTGGTTGTGCGGTGCACCGGAGAGCTGCCTTGCCGCTTGTAGTTCCCGTGCCGTGCTAAATGATACTGTGCTGCTTCCCTAACTGTTCCGGCGTAGACCTGCACTTTCACGGAGTACAGGTGTGCGACGTACCGAAGAGCTGCCTTCAAGCTGGTAGCTCCTATGCCATGCTTTAGGTGATGCTGTGCTGCTTCCGAAATTATTCCGGCGTAAACGTGCATTTTCACGGAGCACAGGTGTTGCAGTTGGTATTGATTCCGCTGGTCTGTCGCACGTTTCGTCGACACCAAAGTTTCATCAACACTCGTTACGCGAATTGCAAGCTGTATGGACATTTCATCGCGCGTGTCACCTACCCAGTCCACCCGTTCACGCCGCTTTGCGACGGCAGTCTGCAGGGGCTTATTACCAGAAAAGTGGTCCCACACCGATTTCAGTTCAGCTCGTCCACGGCAGCCGCCAGACCCCGAAGGAGAGGATTTATTTGGACAGAATGCCACTAAAGCAATGCAGCTTCTTTAGTGGTCAGGATAGACTCTTTTCTGTCTCTTTTGTTATATTGTGACGGATGCTTGCTCCAGTCCTATTTTCTATCAATATTTACTATTCTGGAAAGTTCCAGGCCATGCTCAGCTGTCATTGTATGTTCTGGTGGAGGTGCTGCGCACTTTATCCATAGCCCTTCACTCTGTGTGGACCCTGGCGGCTCCTCAGCCGAGTTGCCCGATAAGAAGACACGGGTGGCACATTATCCCGAGTCTTAAACCCCCGGCAAGCCGTGAACCAAGTCCTATCCCGATCCCGGCAGAAAAACTGCAAGACGAGAGAGTACCACAAGGACGAAACTCGGAAATACACCACGAAGAACTTGAAATCCAAGCAAGTCGCTGCTATCATCAAGAACCACCGGAACTAGGTCTTTGGCCAGAAAAACCGAAGCGGACTAAGCCAACAATGACAAACCTGTAGCAGCAAACCACGTCCGCTCCCACCATCGTTTGCTTGCCCGTTGCATCTCACACTCTGATGCACTTTCACGCAAGGTGCGTAAGCCATCGAGGGCTGGATTGAACAATATGTCCGTGTCGCCCGCCACAGTGGGTAGATGGACAACCAGCTCCTGCAGAACCTATACTTCTCGTGGAAGAAACTGCGAGGCACTGGTTTGAGAACCACGAATCTTCCTTAACGTCGTTTGAAGTTTGCAACATCGAGCTGAAGTGCACGTTCATCAGTCAACATTGACGAGAGAGAGCCGAATTCCTGATTCTGTCGAGGACACAGCCCCAACGAGAGCGTCACCACCTTCGTGGAGGATGTTTTGCTTCTGATCGAGCACCCACGCCAACCCTGATGCTACAGAAGACAAGAACCTAAGAATCCCATGTCCCTCAAGTGAGGGACAACACCTTCAGCAGCCTTGTCCGCAACCCCACGACAACAGTCGAAGGGTTCATATAAATTAGGCTTCTAACATTGAATGTACACTGCAGACCCGAGCCTGTCCCTATCAACAACTCCCCAGCGTCTCGACACTCGAGTTGTCCAGCTGCGACTTCGACGCCAGGCATCCGTGACATCATCCACAACGGTGTCCGGGAGGAGATAAGGAAGCTAGTTTTTGCCATCAGTTGCCCGGGTTTTATTTTGATCGCCGAGATTGTTTCAGAAGCAGTTCGACAGGCATTTCAACTGGAGACTACTTTGAGTGAAGCGGCATTTGACGAACTGAGGGCGACTTATGCCACAAAGTCACAACGACCACCACCTGCTACCTGTTACTATTGAATGCCAATTCAACAAGACACCCCAACGCCGAAGCATTCCCGACATCGGGAAGAACCAGTGTAGGTCCGCGCTGAACAAAGTACACCGAGGAAAACGGAGGTATTGCGAATGGCCGACCGAAGACCACTCTGCTACCACTGCATGAGGCCGACCATGTCTACTGGAGGTGCCCGTACCAATGAATTGGCCTGCAAAGGTTCGTGCCCAATGGCCCTCGACCACGTCTCGACGAGCGTCCGCGGAAGATTGAGGATTATCTTCGGCGGTCTTTGTCCCTGGTGTCGACATTACCCCGAAGCTCGTGATCTACTTCATCTGGACGGGAGGTAAGCACGACAAAGCAGGTGAGCGGCAATGCAAGGAGAGTTGATCTCGTGTCGGTTGTCGTCCAAGGACAATACCTAACAATTTGCTGACACTAATTGTCTGTGTCCACGCCACAAAGCACACGATTTCCAACTTTGAGGGAGAATGCCGCTCAGTGACTTAAAGAAATAGAATGGTTGGTTGCTCTCAAAAGTGGACTGCAAGCATCACCAGACTTCACTTTGCCACATGAGACTTACACAAGTTGCAGTGGCCGCGGGATGCAGAATAAATCTCCATTACGAAATGGAAGTGAAGTTGCTTGGATAGCAAACAAACATTGTTGCCAGCTATCAAGTCAACGGTACAGCAAAAGGCACAGCCACATAACCAATACATGCCCGAGCTTGCTGCATTGATGCAGAAAACGACCAGGAAAATTTTGCGGATTAAAAGCCAGCCCTGCATTTTCAGTGCATCAGATGTCAGTGGCCGCACATGACGTATGATTACAAGACGGCATCAGTCGGTCAAAGTTGCTACTCGACCAAACTGAACACCGACATGCCAGGAGCGTCATCCCACAACGAAGTCCCCGGGTATTACGACTCAACGCCTGACAGGAGACTGTTGCAGAAAGAACTCGTTCTGGAACCATTAACTAAGAATCAATAATTATGTAATCCAGCGGAAATAAACATATTTGATACGCTAACCACATAAACATATTTCCGCTTGCTTTTACACCTCAAGAGTTTATACAGCAAGAATTGTGTTCACCGCACGCGCAGGTCCTTTTGAGGGCAGTCGCATCTCTGACCCTTCAATAATTAATGGGACATACCAGACTGGCAGACTTGTTGCATTGGGCTGCACTCATTCCACTTCTCCTGAACATGTGGCACATCCGAAAACCAACTCCAGTGATGTGAAAATGTTATTTATTAATTTATTCCCTTCAGGGGCCTTCGTAGGCATTGCAGAGAGGATACTTCAAACTACACACATGATAATAACATTAAAGCACACTGCTGTAACTTCTTAATTGCAAAAACAAACACACCTCTCAGCATATACTTTAATAGTATGTGTTGATGCATTGTTATATAGCAGGACACTTTCTATATGTATGACACAATAGACCGTTTGCAGAACCCCATCAAGCAACACAACTGTTACCATTTTTTTTCTGCCTAGAGCACACAAATGGGCCCCAGTTCATGTCGAATGCTAATGCAGCATTCGAGTCCAATAGGTGCCGAGCCGAGTTCACAGTGATGGCGGACGTAACATTCTTGTCGAACAAATGGCCAAAGTATGAAAGCCTGGGGTAATTAGAGTAGTAGCTACTGTAATTCGTTTCATCCCAATTTGGCAAAGGCTACACTCTCGGTGAGCCAATATGCACGTTGGAGAGAGGCACATGACAACATGTCATTTAGAGTGCTCGTCTGCACAGATTTGTCACACACCTTCGCTCTGTCTCTCTGATTGGTTCGAGGGGGCTGTGGTGGTTGCCCTTTTCCAGGTTACAATGATACGAAGTATAGGCAACCCACACTTTTCAAAAAGGTCTATTGAAGAGACCGAAAGGGATGGTCAACATTTTTCAACAAGACTGCTCTTCAGGCAAGGTAGGAATGAACACAAATATGAATCATCTTACCAGGTAATTAGAACAAGTAAATAATTGACCGACTAATATAATGCACTCTTGACGAAAAAAAGTATTGCTGCAATAAATCCTACGAAAGAGAAAAAGCTGCAGTTAATCTATGCATGCACCAAAAGAGTTGTTCTTATTGCAAGTCAAATAGCTTTGAAGCAGGTGCCTGCAACAATTTATTCATCCCCACACTCAATAAAACGTCATCCTCGTAGCTGAAAATAAGTGTGCACTTCGCACTCACCAAAAAAGGAAGAAAAGCTATCGAATGTAGAATCGTCGATTAGCACAAAGGGTTAAAGATCGCAGGAGCTTCCTCGCTAAAAGTTGCTATGGTTATTCGGTGACGCAGGGCTGAAACAACTTCTCCTAGGTCCTAACGCGACGCATACCTTTCGCATCGATTCTCAGACATTCCAACGTTCAAACAAAGCGAAGAGAATGCGAAAATTTTATGCTAAAACCAGTCAAAGTTTTATCGATCCTCGAACAGATCCCGAATCCGAGCACCGGTACGGCGATATGGCTGATGCTGTCTCACAGGTGTTAATATCCAGATGATCCAGAGCGATCTTGCGCAAAAA